ATGATAAAGGATTGGAACCTGCTAGGTACATCAGCACCTAAATCCTTTGAGCATAAAATCCCGCCCACTGTAGAACATCAACTGACCTGTGATTTAGTAAGCCATAGATATAGGGTAAACCTCGGTGTGGGTGCCATGTAAGAGAAAAGCCAAGGACTGGGACCTCTTTGATTGCAGAAACAATTACTCCGGATTTGCCGGAGGTCCTCCTGCCTGCTCTCGAGGCTGCTCTGTCTGACGTGAATCCCAATGTGAGGATGGCAGCAGCTATATGCCAATATGCCATACAGTCACATAATGCCACTGCCCGGGACATCATGCACACTGCACTTGTGAAGGGTGAGTAACCTTCTTTGGACCTGGAATATGGGACAGAGGTTACCTCACTACCAGCTTTCCCTGTCTTCCTTTTCCTATACTTCTGGATGTCTGCTGCATTTGGATCTGAGTGTCTGTGAAGCACGTGGAGACAGAGTTCTTTTAAGTAGTTTTACAAAACAAGTAGCATGAATTGGTACCTGGACTGAACCTTCCCAGAGTCATTCTATAAACCATGTCCTAAAATAGATGAAACTGAAGATATTGTCTTTAACTAAAATAAACTACCCAATCCCCTCCCATGTGGAAACGTAGAAGAGTGGTTATTTACCATAGGTTATGGGTGGGGAGCAGAAGGTGGATAAAGGCAGGTGGGTTTGAGCAATGTAATGCTGTATGCATGCCTTGAAGTAGCATCCTAGACCCCATTAATAATATTAATACATGCTAGCCAATAATTTTAGGGCTAGACTTCTAGCTCAATGATAGTGTGATTGCCCAGCACATTAAGACCCAGAATTTGATTTCTAGTACCAAAAAGTAAATATAACAATGACCTCTCACATATTATTGAAAACACAACAATAGCTAAATACATTTTCAACGTTTGTTTTTTAAAAAATCACCTCTTGAAGACATCATGCTTCCAATTTCTGCACGGTAACACCTAGGCATTATCATGCTGGAGTAGACAAAGCTGTCAGGAGAGGCCACTGACCTGTGTTGAGATGAGCTGTTCCTTACCTAAGCAGGAAAACTGGTTGGCTAGTCTGGCCTTCTGTATACAAACAATCCACTGCTTAATTCATCTGTTTTAGGAAGGGACTTCCTCCCAGGCTCCTCTAGCCTTCCCAATCAGAAGTGTTACCAAGAAGAGCTTGTAATGTTTTAGTCAGGCCTCATGGCACATACCTTTAATTCTAGCACCTGAAAAGTAGAGGCAGGTAAGGTCAGGACTGGAGCTCCGGCCTGCTGGTATAGGGCTTTGCCCCACATGCACTAAGCCCTGGGTTCTATCCCTAGTACTGTCATCCCCCAAAAGTCCAAGGTCATCTCTACTACACAACAGGCTTAAGGCTAACCTGAACTAAATGAAACCCTGTCTTCAAAAAAATCTTTTTCAGGGTTTCTTTGTTTGTTTGTTTTTATTTAAAATCTTATATGGTTGAAACATGGCAGTGGATTTCTAGACTCGGTGGGACACTGGAAAGTGAGATATCAGGCAGTTATCAGTCACAGGTACCTATTCAAATGTGGTTCTCTCTGGGAGAAAACATTCTGAACTCACTTTTTTAACCCACCGGGGCAGGTAATAGTGTGGACAGCTGGGCCGCAGCGCAGTGCTTGGCTCTGGAAGGCATTGCCACCTACCCAGTGATTAAGAGGATCCTCTACCAGCTCTTTAACAAGAAGAATGAGGCCACTGAGGAGCAGTCATGCATCCTCCTGGGTCATCTCAGTGAAAAGACGGTATGTGTCCACTTCAGAGCAAGAGCAGATGAGGGTTGGAGAGGAAGTGTCTATAGTTGGTGCACATAAGGAATCAAGAATATGGGTGCCTGAAAATGATGTCAAGCATAGATCAAGTACACCAAGGCTGTAAAACCAGATATGGATGTGAGGGAATGTGAGAAGCTAGCTGAGAAGTTTCTAGCAGCGTAAAGGTTGAGTCATGACATGCAGACTGCTTTTCACAGAGGCTTATCACTGCTACCCCCACAACTCTATTTATTGGGAGTAGAAACACAAGACTCCACACAGACTATGGAAATACAAACCATCCTAGGGACTGGAAATAGAAGAGAAGGCCCTCATTTTCTGCTCAGATTATTAGACCTGTATTTTCTTTATGGTTTATTGCTTGGGTAGAAGAGTGCCCATCTCTTATGAACCCTTAATAGGGTTCCCTTAATAGAAACGAGTATCTCATGACTTGGGACATTTACTATGCTGGATGCCATGTTAGGACATAATTTCTTCAAGGTTCTAGTATCTCTAAGAGTGAGCAAGACTATCCATTCAAGTCTTCCTTTTCCTCAGACCCTGATTCACACAATGCTTGCTGTGGAGCTGAACAGCAGGCAATGGAAGGACCGCATTGTGGCCTGCCGTGCTTTCTCTCGGATCAGTGGAAATATCTGTATAGTAAGTGTGTCCGCCTTTGCTCCAGAAAGCCTGGCAAAACTGGCCTGGAGTCTTCCTACTTTTTGCTTCTATCTAGTGTCTCATTGTTGCCTCTTATTCATAACTTGGAATATCTTTAAGTATCATGTACTTCTCTCATTTTAAGCCAGTGTTTCTTGGTGGAGTGGCAGTCCATAAACTGTGACATAGCCACTGCCAAATATACATACAAACCAAGAGGGAGCTTATAAACTTAATAGTGATTTGACACTATTATCAGTAGACATTATGAAAGCATCAGTCAGTAACGCATTCCTCTCTCACCCTATGCTCAATATTGGTCCTTGATTTGAGAAGCAGACTGAAAAGACCCAACAATCCAACTAAACAAATGCCCTGAATATTCAGCACACACAGTACCCGCTTTCAAAAACAATGGCATTGCAATTGGAGCAAAAAGACTTAACAATGCGAATGAATCTCTGTCTACCCCTCTGGTGGCCAGTGGGACTGTCTCCCTGGATCAAAGAACATGCCAAAGGCCTGTATGGAGTACTAGGGGACTATAGGCTTTTAAACTTGATTAGTACAAACAAAGCACTCCTCACTTTCATTATTAAAGCAAGCAAAACATAAGGTAACATTTACATTTAGCTTAAGCAAATACAAATATAATAAGGGAGTATATTGGGTGTTGTCTTATCATCTTTGGCCGTGTGGAAAGAGCCAATATTCTTTCTAGGCCTTTGCTGAAAAGATAATGTGGTTATGTCAGGGCATTCCCTTCATGGTCTTGCTTTCAAGTGCCTTCACTTAACAGTTTGTGATTCCTTCAAGAAGGCCACCTTGTTGGAAGAACATTCTGAACTCTGCCCCATTCACAGTTCACAGCTTTCTTACACAGGCTCCCATGACTGAAGAGCAATGCAGGGTGCTCTTGAAACTTTCTGGAGCCTGGTGTGTACTGAATGTAAGTGGCTGAACAACTTAAAGGTGTACAACTTGGGTACAATTGAAGAAATTCTGAGCAAGAGAAACCTGAACCTCTTTTTACTATTACATTCTAATCACTAGCTGTCCAAGTGGAATCAGTCCCTCTTACTTAGAGCTGCTCCATCTATTGTCACACTGCACATTGTCAGTGTGACAAGGCTATTCGTGCTTAGAAGCAGGTGCCCTCTACTCTTAACCCTCACATGTTACAGAAAGCACACCATCTGGTCATTGAGAACAAGCTGATTCTTTCCCACATGCTCAGATACCAGCTGTGAACAAGTTACAGATGTTGAGGACTTCATGATAAACTGCAGGAATTTAAAGGGGCAATGTGCCTGAGTTCTTTTATTCATTCAGTGAGCAAGCTGTGTCTGAGCACACCCCCTCTACAGTGGTAAGCATTCTGAGGGCATTAGTGGTGCAGACTGTATCTTAACCTGGCAACGCTATAACTAGCTATAACAAAAGCAGCTGTAAAACACTATACTATACATAAGGGTTTCCTATGCTTACTGGGACAGACAAGACTTTATTAGCGATGTGCCTTTTAAGCTGAATTCCAAATAGGAAAATACCTGGTACCAGATGGAGATAGAGAAAGATGTTTCAGGCTGGGAAACTAGTTCACAATCATCATCATCATCTGCAATTGCAGTGATGTTCTCCCTTCCCAGTAAGAGAAGTACCCTCTCAGTGACCAGCTGTCCTGGTTTGTTCAGGACATGGGCTTTCACTACTAAACCCAGAAAAGTCTCAGGCAATCTGGAATGAGGAGATTGCTCAATTATGTAATACCTTCCAATTTCAAGTCTCTCACTCTCATTATGTTGATGCCAGCATGATGCAGGAGTTTGAGAGGGGAGTTTGGGAAACAGACCTGGGTTCTGAGACCAGGCACATGCATTTACCAGGTCATCCTTGGGCAAATTAATCAAAACCTCCATTGTGTCATCTGTACATAGAAATACCATCTGCCCAACTGGACTGAGAGACAAAGGATTAAAAAAAAAGCCTGGTATCAAGGACAAAATTAGTGAGCCAGTTATATCATACCCATTGACAGGATATGAAACATAAACTAATCGAGCTAATGTGGAATGACTGGAACAAAGAAGTCAGGCAAGCAGCTGCCAAAGCACTGGGGCAGATGAACCTTGGGAAAGAGGTACATGACATGATCAGGTAAGACCCAGTCTCCGTGAGCTCAGAAACCCTTCCTTTCATAGGCGTGACTGGGTGATCTGCATCCACCTAGTAGCTGTCGAGCTCTGCATATGACCAGCATATCAGGTCCCACTGTAAAAAGTTCAGTCCCCACAGGAACTACCATCATGGCTAGCCAAAGAAGCACTGGATGCCCACTAAGTGTGAAGTAATTTTTTAGGTATTTGAGGAAGAATATTCTGATGAGCGCAAACACAATACAGAAATACCTAACTAAAAACAAAAAAGAGAAAAAAACTAATTTCGAACAATGGTATATACCATAACTGCTGTAGAAAAGTGTGATACTCAATGTGGGCTAGTATGGCTGGGAGGCAACTGCCAAAATGAGCACTGTATTTGTGAGAGGTGCAAACTTTATTTGGTTGTTCAAGACACCTGAATGTCTACCATACGCTAGGTAATAGGAGTTCAAGAAAGTAAGACACCCGAGGTCCCAACCCGGTGAAACTTTAATGATTATACCCCGACTAGAAAAGGTATGTCTACATAACTAGGCCCACAAAGTTAGAATTCCACCCTGAGGGGCATGGTGGAAGGGAACAAGGCACAGAAACGTTCAAGGGAAATAAAAGCCACTTGTGTCTTACAGGACTAAGCTGAGTCAAGGAAATTCCCAGGAGCGGATTGAGGCCCTCTCCCTGATCCGTGTGTTCAAGCTCATGACAGCCAAGCTCCTCCCAAGCTTCCTGAGCTGCTTCTCCGATGAGTTCATAGCAATTCGACAGGCAGCTTGTTTGGCGGCAGGTGCCCTGCAGATCCGTGACAAGATGGTAAGCCAGGGCAGCATGTTGTCATCTTATCTGATGGACCCGAAGAGAGTGTCACTATCTCTGCTGTGCCTGGAACACTCACTACTCTTTGGGGACGTGAGATGAGCAGTCTGACAGGAAGGTGAAAGGAGACACAGGCCACAATCAGTAAGAAGCATTTAGCTTAGCAAGCCCAAACTTCCAAGCCAGAGCATGCCACCCCCTCCATTCTGTTCTCCTTTCAGTTAGCTTCCTAATGCCGGATAGGTGTTAGGGATAATGGCAATGAATAGAGTTTATACTCCCTTGTTATTAGGGGGAAACTGGACAGAAGTATTCAAAAGCCTAAGTGAAGCATGATATGACCCTTACACTTGGGAGATAAGGCAAGAGGCAGAAGGTTGAAGAATTTGAGGTGAGTGGCTGGAGAGATGGCTCAGCAGTTAAGAACACTGACTGCTCTTCCAGGGGACTGGGTTTTATTCCCAGCACCCACATGGCAGCTCACAACTATCTGTAACTCTAGTTTCTAGGGATCCAATGCCACCTTCTGGCCTCTAAGGGCATTGTACTCCGTGGTAGATAAATACGTGCAGGCAAAACACCCATATACATTAGAAAGCATTTGAGGGTTGGGCAGTGGTGGTACACACCTTTAATCCCAGCACTGGAGAGGCAGAGGCAGGTGGCTCTCCTGAGTTCAAGGCCAGACTGGTATATAGAACAAATTCCAGGATAGGCTTCAAAGCTACAGAGAAAACCTGTCTTGAAAAAAACAAAAGCATTTGTGGTCAACCTGAGCTACATAGTAATACAATCTCAAAAATGAGTGTGGGGGGCCCAGGGCAGAGAGAAAGACTGGAGAAAAAGTCTGAGACTACGGGTGCAGTTCAGTGGTAGAGCATGCAATTCGTTTATGCTTGTGTGTTGAGAAAAATACACAAAGAGCAGACAATTCAGCTGTAGCCCATTTGTTACTTGGATTAATAGAAGATTGCTTTTCCAGTTAAAGCATCCCTAGAAATAAGTGGGGTCTCTACCTCTGGTTCATTCTTGTTCTGTTTTTCCCCACTCACCTTTTCCTGTCTACTGCAGGTGTTAGAATGCCTCCTGAAACTGATGCACAGAGATCCCTACTGGAAAATCAAGGCTTTTGCCATTCGAGGTATTTCAGAAATAACAGCTCCAAGCACTAGACTTGGAATACTTTCTTCATGCTAATAGACTCCAAGAAACTCTAGTGAGACAGCTAGAGTATAGTGAAAGGGACTGACTGTCTTAGCTTTACAGAGTTTCTGGGTCTATTTAAACTTGCTAAGCAAAGAACAGACTACACAGTCCCCACCATCAGAATTAAGGATAAGTTTCTTGTTGATATCCACTGTTGGATATATCTTGCTTTCCCTGGAGAATTCAACTATAGACTTGTTAAGAGTCAAACCAGATTCAAGACAGTTACAGAGCTTAAAACTTGCTCTTCAATTTTCCAGTTTTTTTTTTTTTTTTCCCCTAGAACCTCTGCACTGCTTCTCTTTTTGAAGTGGTCTTTGATAGACCCCTAGCAGAACCAGACCTAGGTAAGCCTGAGAAATAACTGTGCCTTCCGCCCCCACTAGTCTACCTTAACTACCCTTCTCATCCATGTAAAATTTGCCCCTGAATAGGCAAACTTGGCTATGTTTATATTTCATTAGGTAAGGACAGTATAAAACACTCTTAGGAGTCCTTTGGAAGAGCTATCCCAATGCTGTCAGGCATGGCTGTATACACCTGTAATTGCAGTCCTCAGAAGGCAAAGGCAAGGATCACTGCAAATTTGAGGCCAGCCAGGGCTACACAGCAAGACTCAGCCCTGAAGCTAGCCATCAAACCTCACACATGCTCTCCAAAGTTCCTAAATTTCACTACTTAAAAATACTCCTCTAAGTCTACGGCCATACCACCCCGAATATGCCCGATCTCGGAAGCTAAGCAGGGTTGGGCCTGGTTAGTACTTGGATGGGAAATACTTCTCTAAAATAAGAAAAAATAATGTGTGTGTGTGTGTGTGTATGTGTGGGAGTATATTTCTCATTTTACTTCTATCTAATGATTACCTACCATCCCCAAGATACTGTCTACAATACATGAATTACTTCTGGATGCTAGGATATAGTAAACTTAAGTCTTCAATGACAGTGGAACATGTTTGCCCTGTCACCTCTACAGCTTTGGGACAGATTGGACAAGTAAGTCCCCAGCTGACAGATCTTCTGCTCTGGGCTATCCACTATGAAGACTCACCAGGTGTACGACTAGAAGCTTGCCGTAGCATCCTAGCCCTCAAGCTTCAAGGAGACCAGGTCAGGGACACCTTTCTGGATGTGCTGCTCCTGGAGAACCACGAGGCAGTTCTTAAGTAAGCACTAAACCTCTGGTTTCTGTCATGACCTCCTGGACTGCTGATTCTCCAATGTTTTATCATTAAATATACTCTGCCTTCCCAGGCTAAGTGGGTAACAGAAAATCCTGCCGTAATTAGATTGTCACAGCTCCCACAGTTCATGTGTTATTTTTCTTCTTCCAGGGAGTTTTAGATTATTCTTGTATTCAACATTCACCCAATACCTACTGAGGCAACAGACTAGAGTCAACAATACCAGGGTTTCATTCAATACACTTATCCACACTTAAGCTGTGCCACCACTGAGGCCTTTTCTGTTTGTCTCAATCCTCCAATGCAGATGAAAATCTACATTATAAAGCTGTGGTGACAAGTAATGAAATGTTATTTGGTACCTTTCACAAAGGTGTTTAATAAATAGCAACTGTCACTGTCTTCACATATATACTCTAGAGCTGCACAACAGCTGTGTAAATTATCCTTTCTACAGAGAAGACTCAGTTAAACTGTTGACGAGTGTTTTAGGATTCTTGCCTGACTCCAAATCCTACATTGTTTAACACCATGCTTTCTTTTTAAGTATGAGGCACAACAATCTTTCATATCTTTCAGGGAAATTTACCAGGCAATGACAGCACTCAACTTAGAAACTGAAGGAAATCAAGAAATGCTTCAGGAGATCAAGAAAAAGGTAAATCAGTACAATCTGTTGTTTTCAAAAGGAAATCCAGGGCTTCAAGTTTTACTAACTAATAAGCATAATACAGTCAGTTATTTTATCTTTTTTGTGTTTTGTTTTTTTGAGTGTTTTACCATGTAGCTCAAAATGACCTTAAAGTTGGGATCCCCTTGCCTCAGACCCTCAGCTCCATGCTTGGTAGAATCCAATTGCATTAATGCTTTTTCTTCCCTGATACAGTTGGTTGCTTGTTTCTTTACACATTTTCCCCCTTAGATTGAAACACTAAATCAAAAGGACTTGCTGACTGAGAAAATATTGAAGATGGAAGCAGCCATAAAAAATGTGAAGGATAAAGGAAGACATGTTTACTCAGAACCCACAGAGGGGCAAAAACCACTGGAACTCCAAACTTTTCTTCAAGAAATTTTTCAGAGTAGGTTTCTTTTTGGTGAACCCCATCCCTTGACTCTTCTCACCGGACTATCCCAGGACCTAGACATTTGGGAATTCCATAGGAGCCCTGTATGACTTAAGTCAGAAAGGCTACCTATTTTCCTTATTTGTTTCCATTCACTCCCTCTCCCCCCTCCCCAGGTTTTCATCCATCTGCAATAGCGTACAATTTAAAAGGTAGTTCTAGCCCGGCATTGGTGGCGCATGCCTTTGATCCCAGCACTGGGGAGGCAGAGGCAGGCAGATCTCTGTGAGTTCAAGGCCAGACTGGTCTACAGAGCGAGTTCCAGGACAGCCTCCAAAAAAAAAAAAAAAGGTAGTTCTATCTGAACTGACTTAAAAAGGACAAACTAGAAAAGCATAAGCCTTTAGAAAAACAGATAACTAACATGGATGTTTGATTAAGCACCCCAAAAGACCTTACATATTTCACCTTTTATAGTGGTCATCTCTAGAAAGTGCAGCTGGAAGGAAAGCAATCACTTTATGTGCCAACTTAAGGGGAAAAAATTGTCTAAGCATTTTCAACCTTAAAAACTGAACCTCTCAGCTATGGTAACAGAATCTTAAGAGGCCTAGCTAGATATACTCTAAATGATAGGTGCACAATTCAAGCGGTACCAAAATATACTTACAAAATCTGTAAGCAGCAGCCTTAGGTCATTCAGCCAGTTGCCTACCAGCTACCACCCCAAACCCAGATCTTCTGGTTCCAAGTGCTCTTTCTGGTGCACCAGACTCTCTTCCACCAATCATGAGACTATGCACTTGCCAGATTTGGGGAAGTTCTGTCCAACTGCCAGGAGGAAAAAGGAGAGTGGAAAGTAACTTCAACACCAATCTTCCCTGTGGCCAGCTTGCTAAAAGTTGGGTGACTAAGGCCTACGAAAGCATAACCAGGTGACGTGAGACTGTCCTTTCGGGAGCAGTGCCAGTCACCGATTTAAACCAAGCACAGTGCAAATGCAACATAAACTTCAAAGCTGACTCTGAGTGGAAGCTTTTCCATGAGGATTGTGCTGTCTGGAGTTCAAGTAGCATAATTAAAGTGAGCAAATTACCTCCAAATAGCCCCAACCAGATATGCTTCTCTTCTCTAATGAGTGTGATGCTTCGGGTGAACCCAAGGCATTGCACATGTCAAGCACACACTTCTTCTACCCAGCCTTTCATCTCAGCCATACTTTCCTTATCTTCTTCCCTGTCTCACATTTTCCAAACCAACCAAAAAAACAAAAGCTCTAAGCTTAGAGAATAAAAATGGTCTTTGGCACTTTTTTAATAAATCTTCTAACATTCATACAAACTTCTTTCTAACGTTCACACAAACATATCGCAGCATATTGACCCCACCACGCCCCACAACCTGATGAAAGAGAATGCAAAGGAGCAACTTCCATATAAAAATCCCTAATGTCTCAAGCAGACTGGCACAGCCAATGCCACACAACACACTGAAGCCTGCAGGGGATGAATGCAGTTGGTGCTCTGCAATGATAGGGGCGGCTGCTTCTGCAGAAACAAGCTTTTTGCCCCCTGCTCCAATTTCTGTTTACTTTTATACCTAGATGAAGGGGTTCCTCCTAGAAGACGGTCTGAGCTTTGTGACACCGAAGCAGCCATAAAGGTAAACGTAACCATACTGATGCTTAGCAAGGTAAGTACATGACTTCTTTACGGGGAGAGAGAAAAAAAAGGTGGCTGTGGTAGTGGACAATCACACTGCATCCTTTCCAGCCATCCTCAAGAAACTAATTCAGAGCCAGAGGTGTCTTGGTGAGCAACAGCCCCTTATCATACAACATGGTTGCCAAGGAAAGCTGGTCTTCCACACTGTCACAGGGCAAATCCCCTACTCTCACAAACTCTGGGTAGGAGCGAAGTAAGAGTTCCATGGCGTCAGCCTGCTGTGGGTAGATTTCCAAGCACTTGGGTTCCTCCAGATGGTAAACACGAGAGTTTTCCACTGTGTAGTAGAGGAACAAGCGGCCTCCCTCACCCACCAGCCGAGCTATGCCATCCTGAAGCATATGGACTTCTGTTTCTGTTGTCAACTGGGCCCCCACATCTACAAGTTCTCCATCCTCCCAGCGAACTGGGAGCCCATGAACACTCAGTGCCCTTTCCCTGGCAGTCAACACAGGGGGCAGGGAATCGTGGATGAAGTCTTTGGCTCTCTGGTCAGCCACTGCATCGACAGGAGCAAAGTGTCCCAGGCGAGAAACCAAGACCCGCACCTTTTCCATGAAAGCTGTTCTTCTCGGATCCTTGGAGTCTGAATGCTGGGCCCCCATGTAATCCATGAAGTCTCTAGGGAGGCCCCTGCGAAACTCGACATTTTCTTCTATTGCTGCTTGCACTGCCAGGGGCAGTACCGCCTCCAAGAAGTCACCCCAGGTATTGCGCTGGTAGGTGGACAAAGTGAGGTGAAGAGAGTGGTCTCCATCCTGACATTCAGCTTGATGAATGAAACCCCGAGGGAAATAAAGCAGGTCTCCAGGTTCCAGCACCGTTTGCAGCACCGGCTCACCAAGGTCCTCCTGGCTGAAGTTGGGGCTAGATATCAGAGCGAGCTCCTCACTTGGGTCCCGCGGTCGGTAGACCCGCCAGAGTTTCCGACCTTCCAGCTGCAACACGAAAGCCTCAATGTCGTCGTAGTGGGGAGCAAAGCCCTGTGAGTTGGGGGGCGTGAGGTAAACGTTGGAGCCTGCCATGCTTCCAAACTGTTCCTGGAGCACGGCCAAAAACTTCCACACGGAGTGCGAGAAAGCTTGCGGGCAGAGAAGGCGCAAGGAGCAGCCGGCCTGGTACAGGGACCACGCGGTGGCGGGAAGAGCGCGGCCCGGTGGGTTCAGGGTTTCCCGCCTCCCATCGACGTAGCGCGCGGCGTCCAGGTGCTGCCCGAAGTGCACGTCCTGGTGGCGCAGCATCGCGTCCAGGTCGGCAGTGGAGAAGAGGCCCTGGTAGTAGCTGGGGTCCTGCCGCCGCACCAGCACCGCCTCCCGCTCCCACAGGCGCCGGTAGAAGTGGTCCGGAGGCATGGGCGCCAGGAGCCACTCGAAGAGGCGGGCGGCGCGCCTCCGGCTGCTGGGGATGCCGTTCAGCTCCGTCAGCACCTGCTGCAGCGGCGACTCCCAGGGCCGCTCCGGGCCATTCGCGTGCGGGCCCGGGGGCGGGACGGGGGTCCCCAGGTCTCGGGAGAGTGCGGCCCGGCCCTCCCCGCGGCGCGGCACTGACGCCGACGCCGGCCTCCGGCGCACGGGCACCGGCCGCGGCTCCGCCGACCGCGAGTTCTCCCGCCGCTCTGCAGGCCCCTCCCGCTCGCCCGCGGCCGGCTCTACCTTCGAGTCCGAGTCCTCGCTCGGCAGCGCGCGAGCCCTCAGCGCGGCCACGCGGGACGCCGCGCTTTTCCGGTGCCTTCGGATCTTCCGGGATCGCAAGGGCAGGGCCAAGACCGACCCGCCGCGGAGCTGCGGCTGGCGCCGGCGCCTCCCCCGCTCGCGCCTCCGCAGCGCCGCGCTGTTCCGGAGCTCATCCATGGCGGGGCGGTAAAGAACCCGAGAAAGCAGACCAGACCCGCGCTGCCGCTGCCGCTGCCGCGGTGCCTTCTGGGAAGGGGCCGCACCCTCCAGCCGCCCCTAGGTAGGCCACGCCTCCCTTCCTCCTGGGTCCTGTGGCTTCCCGGTTAATCACCTTTGCAAACTGCGTGGTGCACACTGGGAAGACAAAAATCCCTACCTGGTCAAGACTTCTTGTAGATCGAGCAGTTTAAGAAAACAAGGCACGAGGCATTCCAGAAGGAAGCAACTTCGTTCCTCTTTTTGGTTTTTCGAGACAGCTTTGGAGCCTGTCCTGGAACTAGCTCTGTAGACCAGGCTGGCCTCGAACTCACAGACACCATGCCTCCCGAGTGCTGGGAGTAAAGGTGTGCGCCACCACGCCCTGCTTCCTCCATTTTAGTCTGCTTTCTCCAGTCTTGTGGCAGGAATTTTTGTTCCTCGGCTGTTTCCTGATAGAATGAATGAAGGCAAAGTATGCTACTCTTTGTGAATCACAGTTCTTACTGGTTCTCTTCACTGCAGAAAACTTCATTGTTGACCAGGCGGCGATGGTGCACTTATTTAATCCCTGCACTCCGGAGGATCTCTGTGAGTTCGTGGCCAGCCTGGTCTACCAAGAGAGTGCCAGGATAGCCAAAGCTGTTACACAGAGAAATTCCTTGGGGTGGGGGCAAAACAAAAACAAAAAACACCTTCATTGTTAAGCCTTTCTCTATTTCATTTCCCTCTCTCCTTCTTCAATTACAAATCCTTGCTGGATATGGTGGTTAATGCGTGTAGTCCCAGCACTTAGAAGGCTGAGGTTACAGGGTGAGACCCTGGTAATCAATATTCTTTTCTTTCTCTGAAAAGCACGTTTGTCAGTGTTTTGTTGCATAGTCTGGCCTGGCCTCATACCCCAGGTCCTCTTGCCTCAATGCGAGATTGCAAGTTTGTCCAGTAGGTAGGTTGTTTCTGTTTCTCCTCCTCTTTTTCAAGGTTCTGGCTTTTTAAGGGTGTGTGTGTTTCCCCACAGGGACCAGAAAGGAGTGCCAGATCCCTTGGAGCTGGAGTTACAGTTGTTTGTGGAATCCTATCTCTGGTCCTCTGATCTAGCAGTAATCACTCTTCAACCACTGAGCCATCTCTCCCGCCCCCAGCAGACTCACACTCTCTCTCTCTCTCTCTCTCTCTCTCTCTCTGTGTGTGTGTGTGTGTGTGTGTGTGTGTGTGTGTGAAGGGACCAGACCCTCACCAGCTCCCTGCTTAAGTAGCCATGACAGGCTACAGGAAAGACATGTAGGCCTTTGACTCAGCACACTCTGACCTTGGTGGGCCCGCCCTAGTCACCAGGACATCAGATATTCTCCTTGTGGTAAGGAACCGATCAGAAGTTAGCTGGCAAGACTCTGGATGTGCAGAGCATAGCAAGCGCCCTGAGAGGGCTTATAGGCCATAACAACCAGCTGACCAATCAACACAGGACAGGTGATCCAAATCCAGAAGCACACCAATCCTGAGACTGTTGCAGACCCCTAGACACTCCCCTTATGCCGCCTAATAAGTTCCCCACCTCGCAGTTTCTCCAGGTCCTTCTCTTGCCAGCCTCCATGTTGGATGGACGAAGGGCCTGAGTTAATGGGGTTAGCTCGTTAACCAATAAAAGACTGCTTTTGCATTGGGAGGGGTCTGTTGGTGATTTGGGGGTTCAGAATTTGGGCACATGTGTGCTGCACATATGTGTGTACCACCATGCCTGTCAGAGTTTTTGATTATGACAGGGTGGCAGAGGGAATTAGGTAGTTTAAATGAGTTTTGCATACACGCCATGGAAATGGAAGTGAATTGGCTGGCATCTGTCAGGATCTAGAATCACTACCGAGACCAGCCTCTGTGAGCAGAGCTGTGAGGGATTGTTTAGATCAGGCCGAAATAGGAAGAGCCCTCTAACTGTGGGCTGCACCATCCACTGGGTGGGGTCTTCTTGGGTAAGGGGAGGAAAGCCTTTATTCTCTGCTTCCTGACTGTGATTGGCTGCTTCCTGCTCTTGCAACCACGCCTTCCCTGCCACATGGGCTGTAAACACACATAAACCCCGCCTCCCTAAACTGCTGCTTTTCAGGTATTTTTGTCACAGGAAGCAGGAAATTATTGTGACAAAATTAATAGAGGGTTGTATCAGACAGAGCCACCAGGGCAGGTTGTAAAGGGACTGCCCAGCGCAGAGGAGTGGGGCTTAGTGTCCTACCAAGCTCTGTGCCTTAGTAGAAGGCTGCAGGGGCCTGGAAGAAGGGGCCTTAGGAGGAATAACCTTCCCTTTTTAACAACCACTGTTA